TGCAGAGAGCCCTGTAAAAACCAGAAATCATCCTCTAACTTACCCGTTTTGAAAACTGGATATTCCGTGTTCCAGTTAGCTTAGGGAGCCACTCTTCCTCCTTCCTCTCATCTGTTGTCTACATGAGAATACTCCACACGGTAGTATCTTGCTGAGTCAGGTCCTGGGGCCATGTTGCCTTTACTGTGCCCCTGAAAAGGTGTTCCTAAGTGAGGCTGGGGCAGGGGTGAAGCCTATTCAGAAATGCTGGAGAGCTCATTCTGAAAGATGTCCTGCTGTCGGTCCTTCTGCTAAGGGGATCACCAATCCTTTGCTTTGAGAGTTCCTCCAGGAGGCTTGTGTAAAGTGTTTGGAAACCCCAAAGTTCTTGCCATTCTACCCTGGGCCTTCCTCTGCTGCTGCCTCTGCCTGTCCCCTGTGCCTTTTGCCACTGGTGTGGCCTTCCTTTGCCTTTTCCTCCTTCCCCCATGGTTGCTTCCCATGTGGGTTTGAGCCGTCACCATGTGTCCGGCACTGTACTGGAGCATTAATCCTCCTCCTGGCAATGTGTGAAGTAGGTGGGGACATCAGTATCATTATCACACAGCTGTGTGGTAACATGGGACCCAGGACAGCATGGTGTAATCCATAGCAAATAGTATAATGTATGTATGTACCACGAGTCAGCAAACTCTGACCATATCTGACATGTGGCATGTTTTTGTACGACACTGCAAGCTAAGAATGATTTTTAAAGGGTTGTAAAAAAGAATAATAGGAGACAGAGACCTAATGTGACCCTTAAGCCTAAAATATTTCCTACCTGACTTTTAGAGAATAAGCTTGGCAAGCCTGCTATACATATACAATATGCAGACTTTAGCATAGATTCTGGAGCTGTCACCACTGCCTGGGTTCTAAAGCCTCAATTGTATCAACTACAAAATGAGAATAATCTGTAGAATATGCCTGCCTTACGTGGTTGTTAGAAATAAATGAGAGAAAGCACCTAACCCCAAGTAAGCTTTCTTTGGAAGTAATGGGAAAGACATTTCTGGGCCTTTGCCAGGCTTCTCGACCCAGTGGGCATGAAAATCTTGGCTCCAGGCCTCCAGCTACCCTGGCCCTGAGCACAGCTTCCTCAGAGTGTGTTCCCTTTGGCAGGAGGAAAGGGACCTGCCAGCTGCCCATTGTGCTGCATCCTGCTGGTAGGTCAGTTCTGCCTTCCTCCCACCCCCATCCCTGCTGATGGTCAGCTGGTGCCGCTCACCAGGGCCGGGCACAAAGCCCACACCAGGTGCCCATTAGGCCCGAAGGTACCCAGCCTCTTCCACTGTCTCCACTTTGTGCTTCGGATCAACCTGGCCGAAGCTCCTGCTTAACTGTAGGAGATGTGGCCTGGGGTTCATCCTCTCTGTGTGCACTTCCTCATTTGCAGGCCAAACGGGCAGACATCTGTGTTTCCCCAGACCCAAGCTTTTGGCCAATGATCCCTTCCTGCTAAGGAAAAGGAAGGGTAATCCCAGGGCCCAGCCAGCCTCCTTCCCTTGAAAGAGTGGTCTGTATAACAGATTTTCAGTGCATAAAGAGTAAAGATTGCAAAATTCAAATCATTGAAAAATCAGAAAGAATAGTTTCCAATATAGATAAGGATAGGCTTTCAAGTCTTGTAAGCCACGGAAGCAATTGTAACACAAAAGATCAAATTGTACTACATAGAAGAAAAACTTATCAAAAGGTTTAAGAGAAAATTGTAAGTCAAACTGAGAAAAAATGTTCATGCCGGATGTGGCAGAAAAAGAATATCCTTAAAACAAAAATCTTTAAAGCAACAAAGCTCTTAATGGGTAACAACAACAATAACAAATACTTATGTGGTTGGTGCTATATGCCAGATACTCTTCTATGTATTTTATACATATTTTACTTACTGATTTAATCCTTGTGAACAAGTCTGTGAGAAAGATACCACAGTTTTATTCTCATTTAATGGATGAGGAAACTGAGGCATAGGGAAGCTAAGTAACTTTTAGTTCCCGAGTGCCCAGAGTGACACAGTTAATGAATGGTGAAGCAGAGATTTAAATCAAGTCTATCTGGCTCTTGAGTCTGAGCACTTAAAGTCTTCCATACTAACCAGGAAAAAGATACGAAACAGACAGTTCACAAAAAAGAAACTGTAAATATCGGAGAAACATAAGAATTATTTTTCAATAATTCAAAAAAAAAGTAGTCAAAAAAGTAGAAAATTAAAACAACGAGACACCATTTTTGTGTTTAGGAAGAATTTTAAACATTGTAACGCTAGTACATACTATCTGGAGTGAGGCAGAGACTTCCGCAGATGGCTAAAGTTATAGTCAAGTGGCCTTTCTATTGTGGCAGGAATCAAAACAGCGCTCAGAAGCCTCAAAAATGTCTATACCTTTTGACCAGGAATTCCCATCCTAAAAATCTAATTTAAGAAAATAATGAAAGAGACAGACAAAAACTCGTATGTGAAGATGTTCACAGTAATGCTATACAAAATCATGAAAAATAAGAAACAACCTACATATCTGATAATGGGATACAGGTTCAGTAAATTGTTTAATTCCATAATGGGTAATTAGGCAGCCATTAGAAATAAATTTGTAACAAAAGACACCATAAACAAAGACATGACAGACCGCTGGGAGAAGAAGTGCACATAACAACAAAGAATTACGTAAACAAAGAACACACAAACAAAACTTAACAAATCAGTAAGGAAAGCCAAACAGGCAAAGGATGTGAATAGGCAGTTCAACTTACAGGGCTAATAAAGCCCTACTTGGTCTCGCTAGTAGTCAAGGAAATGCAAACTAATTAAATGTATTTATCAAAATAGCAAGAGTCTAAAGGAAAAGATGTAGGGAAATAAATCCGTATCTATGGCTGGGAGGCACATAAATGACTGCAGCCGTTGGAGAACCATGCGGCCATACTTAACTAAAATTCAACACGCGATTCCCCTAGGAATCCCATACACTTCTAGGGATTACCCTGTACAAAACATTAGTTTGTACAAGGAGAGGTATTCAAAGATGTTCATTTCATCCCTGTCTATAATAGCAACCATATTAGTATTATTGTTGTATCATATTATCACCTATTATATTTTAAATTGTATAACAAACAGCAGCAATGATTATTTTTAAAGAACTGTGCATCAGACAGGATAGGAATAAGTGAAATATGATGAATATACATAACGGGATACTATTCACAGTTAAAATGAAAAGAAATGAACTAGATCCATAACCATCAGCTTAGGTAAATTTCAGAAACAATGCTAAGTATAAAGAGCAAGGGGCAAAAGGGTAGATATCGGAATGACACTATTTATATAAATCTTGAAAACAAACTTAAAAATATCACGCTAAATATCACATATGTAAGAGCACATATATGTAGAAAATATAAAACAAGCGTGTAAGTAATGTATACCAAATTCAAAAGAGTGGTTGCTTGTTGGGGAGGATTGCATGGGGGGCAGGAATGGGATACTGGGATACTTACTGTGTCTTAATGATTTTTTGAAGGGGGAAGTATTGAAGCAAATATGGCAAAATGTTAACTTATGTTCTAAATCTGAGCGGGGATATGTGCCTTCTGTTACATTATTTTCTGTACCTTTCTGCATATTGAGTTACTTCAAAATTTCAAACAAATTATTATTATTATTTTTTATTGTTGGGGGTTCATTTGAGGGTACAAGAAACCAGGTTACACTGATTGCATTTGTTAGGTAAAGACCCTCTTACAATCGTGTCTGGCCCCCAAGAGGTGTGAGTGATTTACGATTCCATGGAGAATGTTTGTGTTATAATGTGAAGGGATAAAAGCTGGACAGAAATACACACAAATGTTTATAAATTTCACAGATTAAAAGTTTGAAAGAGATACTCAAAGATAAAAAGTATTTTTTATGACAACCACAGAAACAGTGGCTGAGTTTAGACCCTAGGAGAGGGTCCAAACCAGGAAGAGGTGCTGTGATGGAGTGGAAGTGTCCCGGGCTCGAGTGCTGGCTTGACTACTTTCTGGCTGTACGACTCTAAGTTTGTTTATTCTTTTATCTATTCAAGACACACCTTGAACACTACCACGTACAAGGCACTGTGTTAGAGATACAGCAGTGAACAAAACATACGCGCTCCTTCCACTCCCACACAGCATACAGCCTAGTGAAGAGGAGACAGTAAACACATCCCCACTCAGCTGTCACTACCAAGCACAAGGTCCTCATGAGGGGAGGTACAAGGGCAGTGCTGAGAATCTAACTGGATTGGGTGGCCAGAGAACCTGGCCTCTGAGTGACACTTAAACAGGAATCAATTGGATGAGGAAATCTGGGAACCCAGCAAAGCGAGGACTTTGAGAGGAAGGAAGGCCCTACAGGACATATTTAAAGAACCAAAAGAAAGGCAGGATTCTTGCTGTAATAAGGAGTGGGAGAGTTGTGCAAGGAGAGGCCAGCAAAATAGGGGCCAAGTCACTGAGGGCCCCTTGGGCTAAGGTAATGCTTCCATAGGGACTGTGGAAAGTCCTTGAAGGGTTTTAAGCAGCAGGGTGATGCATGATTAGGTTTATAATTGTCACAGATCACCCTGATGCTCTTTGAAGATCAGAGTGGGTGGTGAACAACCCCAGGTAGTTGGCAGTGGCAGTGGAGAGAGAGAGAGAGATGTGGTCAAAGACTTAAGACATTTTTGGAGGCATCATCAGCAGGTATTGTTGGTAGATTATCTGCAGAGGGTGAGGGAAGGGCCAAGGAGGAAAGCTGGGCATGGGGCAAGAAAAGCTGTGGTTGGTGGGAATGGGGAACGCTGGGGTGGCAGGCAGCGAGACAGGGAGAGCCAGCTGTGCCAGGAGATCTGCAGCTTTGTCAGCTTTGTGCCTGTGAGAACTGGGGTTTATGATAATTTCTGCACCCTCAGGGTGAGTGCCTCAGCCTGCTCTCCAGACCTTTTCTACAGCCATCTTTCTCTCCTTCACAGGTGGGACATGTTACTCTTGGGGCTGGAATGAACATGGCATGTGTGGAGATGGCACTGAAGACAACATCTGGGCCCCAAAGCCTGTACAGTCTCTGTGGTCGTCACTAGCACTTCTTGTGGGCTGTGGCGCTGGCCACTCCCTGGCCCTCTGCCACCTGCCAGCATGCCCTGCACCAGGCCAGGATCCCAAGGTCACCTACCTTGCCCCAGGTGCCACCGAGGACACTGCATCTCAGGAAGCCATGGATAAAGAGAGAAACTGGAAGGGAAAACAATCAGAAACTTCAACCCAAAGCCAATCTGACAGGTCTGTAAATGGGGAACTGTGATAGAGAACTTTGAATAAAGTGTCTTTCCCACCAAAATGCTCCAGAGAATTGCTTGTCCGGTTGTGGGGTTGGCCTGAGACAGGCTCAGATTGCACCATTGGCTGGGCTGACCACCCACCAGGAATGATGGAGGCTGCCTGTCTGGTGTCTGGGGCTCAAGGAGACAAACATTGTTTCAACTCAGCAGGTGAGAATGAAGGTTTAGGTCCTCGCCACAGGGCATGGAATGCTAAAACACGCAGGAAGGCTCCAGCAGTCCCTACCTGGTGGAGACAGAAAATCCAGCCCTATGGTTGTTTTGGTCCCACAGCCTTTGATTCAGGAAGACAAGGGTTTCTAAGCCATGCTTAGAGCAACCACAAGCCACTCTTTGGGTCAGAGCCCAGAATGTTTGCTGGTTCAAGGCTATTGAGGCACCCTGATTGGATGGCTGGATACTTGGACAGGAAAGAGCTCTTGTCTTTGTGACAAAGCCAAGGAAAAAGGTTCTGGAATGGAGGTGGAAGGTAGTAGAAATGAGTACGTGGAGGAGGAGTTAAGACTTCTGGGAGGACCCAGTGAAGGAAACCCTTGGGACAGAAAAGAAGTTTAGAACCAGTGAAACTCTCAGAATATTTATGTCTTTAAGTCAGTGGGAACTCTGGAGCTAGTCTCTGTGAATGTAATTGCCAAGCTCTGCAGTTTCCGATGAGGGACACACCACAGCATGGGAAGGGGAGTCTATAGAGACAGCAACATCAAAGATTCCTGACACCTGCCCCCTCAGGGCCCTAGCCACTGTAGGAGGAGAGATGGGAACCAGGCCACAGTGGTATCTGTGGCTCTGAGGGACATAGCACCTCTCTCTCTGTTGTGATGGGTAACAGGTCCTTGGCCAGAAGTGCACTTTCCCTGGAGGACTGTGTGGCAGTGTCACCAGCTAAGTGGCCTAGGTCTGTGGTTTATTCCATAGTGCCTTCCCTTTGTGACTCAGCAGAGTTTGGGTCTGGGAAGGCTCCAGTAGCTTTACACTTACAAAATCCCAGGACATCAAAGCTAGAGGACCCTAAATGACCATTTAGCTAGTGGCCTTCAAAGTGCATTCTTCAGAGCCCTAAAAGTCTCCTGAGAACTCAGTGGCCACCTGTGGGCTATGGGCCAGGCTAAGCAGACAGGTTTAGTTTCCCCACCCCCCTATTCCAAGCAGCCTTAATGTTATCTGTATATTATATGTTTTGCTTCAAGTAAGATTTTATTTGACAAGAGGTCTTTGAGAAAGTTAAAAACCACTGACCTTATCCAACTTTTTCATTGTTCATGTGGGAAAACAGAGGCCTACAGAGGAGAAGGGACCATCTTAAGGCCATGTGCCTCACTCCCAATCCAGGGTCTTGATTGGGAATTGACCCAACCAGGGTCCTGAGCTAAACAAGGGTAGGATGGAGAGTAGCCCTGGGACCAAGAGTGGGTTATGCTCAGGAGAATAGGAATAAGGACCGTCCTGACCTCCCCAGACCTAAATCTAGAAACCTCCCACAGTATTGGCTGACCATTAACATCACGCATGGAGTCCTCTCAATATTGCACCCTAGAAACATGGCTGCTCCAGCTGGCAAAGCCTTTGGCCCCCCCACCTCCCAGAGCCAATAGAGGCCAGTGCACCCTCCAAGCACTTCTGGAGTGGAAAGAAGGATATCTCTATGCACTCTGAGCTGATCTTGCCAAGGTAACCAAGCCTACAGAACTGGAACAAATTGGATGGCTAAGAGATGACTCACACAAGGTCACGGGCCTCCACTCATGATCCTATAGGTTGGTGTTCAGCATCAGACAGGTCAGAAGGCAGACCCACACTGGATAGTACTCAGGCCCATACCTCCTAGACGGTTCCCACTCACAGAGAACTGACTCACTCAGAGTTGCAGTGCAGTGCTCCCTCCTACCTCCTTCAGCCCCTGCTGGAAGAAACAAAATCCTGAGTCCTAATGCCTCTCCCAAGAGTTCCTTGTGGGGACCAGAAAGGAGTGCCTAGGCTCCTTCCCAGGCTAAAACAGGATCAGGTGGTACATCAGCCCTAAACCCTTTGATCCAGAACCTCAGACTCTCAGAACTGAGTCAAACCCTTTGTGGAAGCAGGCAGGGCAAAGATAATCCACACGTGGAAAAACAAGTGGTTCTTGGCATGAGTAGACACTGTAGACCGTCCCCTCACCTCAAGTGTCTCCATCTGGCCTTTTCTGACAGTGGTGGATGGGCTTTGTCCAAGGCATTTCCCTGGCTCGATCTGAGGAGTGTGTGAAAGTGAGTGAGGAAGTGCTGACAGTATCTCCCAGATTTTTTTCTGGACACTGTGGTTGCTATTGGTCACTCTCAGACTTTGTGTATGTTCAAGTCCCTGATAGACCACAAACTCTTTGAGAGTAAGGGACGAGGTCTTAGACAATTCTGAATGCCCTTTACCAAGGATGGGTCCTGGTACAAAGGAAGTGCCTAAAAAGTGTAGAATGGACTTGTCAGTACACCTTTAGCTTCAGCATGGAGTGGGGAAGTTAAATGAGTGGGCTCTGTGATCCTCTTATCTCCCCCCACCCTCTGCTATTAGCCCTTTGAGAACTATGCTGTGATAGCATAACTGACAGTCAACAGCAGCATCATTCACTAATTAGCTACTGATCTGTAGGAGCAATGGTATTTGAGAAAATATCCATTCATTTTCTGAACTTATTTTTTCCTGGTCACAACTAAGTAAACTAGTCTTCATGTTTCTCCTGTGTGAAAAGGCAGACTGCAACGGGCCCCCTTGTGTGCTCACAGGTCTTTCGCCTGGCCCCTGGAGTGACGGTTAAAAGTCGAGCTCATACTAGATGTAGCTGGGACGTTTCCATCCCTACCTACCACACTTACTCTCCCCTCCTGATCACAAGCAGTCCTCTTCCCTTGACAACCCCCCTACCGTTGGCCCTGATGGATTGTGAGGACCATCAGACCAACTTTGCATGAGATTTTGCTCAGAATGATAAATCCCTGCCCAGGCTGCTCATCATGCCCCAGGCATTCACCACTTCTGACTGAAGTGACTTAGTGATAAATTAAAATTGGGTGTTGGTGAGTTAGTGGGGTGCTAGAGGGAAGTCCCAGGTCCTAAGGCACATATGTACAACTACCATGAGTTTATTAGTCTCAGAGTACGTGGAACACAGAGGCAGGGGGTGGAAGTGGGAGTGAAGGGGAGAGGAGTAGAGAGGTAGACCTCACAAGCCAATGGAAGGAGCAGAAACTTCATTCTTAGGGCAGTGGGATATTTAAGCAGGAGAAGGAGATTGTCCAGTTGCATGTGTGGGAGACATGGGGCAGGATATGAAGTGGCCCTTTCTGTCATATTCATGGTACTTCATGAAGGAGGGCAGGAGGCCAGGTGCTGAGGGCTCTGGGACTTAGGATCAGCAACTCTAGTTGACATTAATTCTACCCTTAAGGGCCAGTCCCAGGAAGACCTCAAGTAGCTTGAAACAGCTCAACCTGAGCTCTGGAGTTGGACCACCTGGTTTAAAATCCTGACTTCATTATTCACTGGCTTTGGACCATTACTTGACCTCTCACACCTGTTCTCTTTTCTGAAATGGGGCTATTGAATTATTGTGAGCTATCATTAGACTACATTTGTAAGCTACCTTCATGTTGTAGATGTTCAATGTATGTTAAACCCCTTTACACATTAGCTGCTGTGTCCTTGAAAGCCCATATTCCAGATGGCTTTGTGTTGAGTCTCATTTTGGGTCCACCAGCAGCACTTCCCTGCTGGTGCATCCCTGGGTGAGCAAAAATTACCCTCCCTGCTTGGCTTGCACGTCCTGATACTTCTGAAAGGTTGGGACAGTCCTGGCAGAGGCCCTGGGCCTGGGAAGACAGCTGACTGAACTCAAGACTCCATTGACCTCCATGCCATGGGTTCCTGGACTGCACGTGGTTCCAGGAAGTGGAGGCAAAGTCTTGGAGGGGATGAGAAGCTGTTGGATGGGAATTTGACACTCACCTGCAGTCTCCCAGCCACCATCTGATCATTGACTCAGGCTGTGCCAGGAGGTGTCAAGGGAACAGAAATCAGGACAGATTTGTAGCCCTGGGCAGATCACTCCCCTCTCTGGACCTCATTTCCTCAGCTGTAAAATGTTCAAATGTTGGATGACTAGTGACTCTTTCCACTTGAACATTCCTAGAGTTTCTAATGGATAGGAAAAGAATTGGAATCCCAGTCTTCCACTCTACCACCAAAACCACGTGAATAACCCAAGTCAGTCAAGATCCCTAGGAAAGATTTACCCCTTCCAAGATGCCTACAGGCTGAGAGAGTGCATGTGGGTCATTACAAAAGTTTTGAGATAATGCAAAAATCACGAAATGTAAAACTCACTTGGGTTGAAACAAATGAAGTCCTCCTAGCAGCACCCATAAGCCCCACAAGTGGAAACTTGCTCCAGTGATTCAGAAAGGATACTGTTGACTTTGTTTCTTAGAAGGAGACTAATGGACCATAACACAGCCTGTCTCAAATCTTTCATAGTGACCCATGCATTTGATGCACGGTCCAGGAGACTGGGCCCAGCAAGTGTGCAGTTGGGTAGAGCACCTAGATCTGACAGTCAGACCCCTATCTCTAGCTCCATTAGATTTAAGAATGGTGCAAGGAGAGAGGTGGCCATGGTCTGCACAGGGAACTAGGAGCTCTGACATGGCCAGATTCAAGGACTTATCAATATGGCATGGCTCATGGAGAAGTTTCCATGTTGGGTGAACTCTCTACAGGATGTGGTCTTATGTTAGAACCTTGTATGTCCTGTGCCTTCTGAAAGCTGCCTCCCTCCCCTGATCCAATAGGATCTTCAGCCCAGGGAGCTACCCTGCTCAACCAACCTGCAGAAGACAACCTCTTCCTTGGCCTGACTCCCCCCCAGCAAAAGGACAGCAAACACCGTAAGGTGGCTCCTCCAGACCAGAGGAGCCAGGGTCCAGGCTGACCCCAGCCCAGCCACAAGAGACCAGAGCCCAGAACAGAATCA